GGCTTTAATATTTATTCTAGAAAGTTGACATTATGTTGGTGAATTTTTAGAGATTCTTTTAATTATTTTGAAGAGATGAAAGATACGAAGAGACTCTAGTGATTCTTGATAGTATGGATGAGGCACCAAATTGTACATGGTACGGTAATGCTAGATTCACACTGCATCCGTCGTACGACGCAAATCGGATGCAGCACCCAGCATAAGGTTTAATATTTAGAATTTTATGTAATGTTTATAGAATTTTTTGTAATTTCTGAATAACTGTTTAACTTTCTAACAAATTTTTCAAATTTTTCAAGGTTTTACAAATAATTTCTTAAAAAATTATAATAAATAAAATTATATGCCTTATGGTGGAAGAGATTAGAATAAATTTTCATTTTGTCTTTTTTTCAAAGAGGTTACTCTGTACAAGTCTCTTCAGGTGACTTATGATTACAAATATTGCAATTAAAAAACACTATTCATTGAATTCATGCAGTATTTTAGCTGTAATTGCCCTAATTTCAGCATAAAGAAATTCATCGTCGACTAGAGATATCCACAGTCTCCTGTCAAACCTTAACCAAAGAAGAAAAATAAGAGAAAATAGAAAATATTGAATAATATTTTTATTTTAACCTTATGCTGACAAGAAAATGTTTTCTCCCATTAGTAAGTTTATGATTAATGTGTGTGTGCACGTACGTGCGCGCGCGCGCGCGTATGTGTGTGTGTGTGTGAGCGAGATTATAATCATATGAAACTAATAAATTTAAAGAATATAAGGAATCTATACTTATAAACTTGTCTCTCTCTCTCTCATTCTTATAATCTTTTTATTATTTGTCGTAAAAGAATTTATATATATCAAATATCATCAAAGAAATATATGAATGTTTAAGACCCAATTCCAGAATTCATGGTTAACTCTTAATCGAGGTCTATCTTATTCATTATCTCTTTCCAATTCTAGAACTGGAAAGAGATGAGAAACAAGTTGAACCTCAATTAGGAGTTAACTGTGAGTCGTGGAACTGGGCCTAAATAATGCATTTTATTCAAACGAATTTATTACAGAATTATCATCGCCTAAATCATTCCAAGGAAGAAATTTAACAGGAACTGTACGTCTTATACGTGATTTAGCTGCAGATATTCATGCAAATATACAACAATGGAACAACCTTCATATTCAAGGAACTACTTTTTTAAAAGACATAACACAAGAAAAACATGATACAAATTATTCTAAGATTTTACAAGATTTGTGTGATAAGTTAGAAAATATTTGTGATAACCTGGTAAATTTTCTCTTTTTTTTTTAAGAGCATATTTTACATTCTTTTACTATATTATTTCATGTTTTTACAACTTTACAGATATAGGTTAATATTATTTTAATTTAATTGATGTTTTAGTTGAATTAAAAATTATATTTGTAACTTATTAATATATATATATAAAAAATTGAATAATCTTATTTTTAGGATGGCATAGTTAGAAACTTAGATCAAATTAAAAATCAACTAAAAGCCGTATCAATCTTAGAGAAAACAGATAAATTGTTTATAACATGGCCGACAACAAGGTTTGGTAAGGAATAACTATAACTAGATCTATTAAAAATATATACTTTACACAGCGTTCACTATAAAAAGTTAAGTTTTGACTGTTTTTTGGCTAATGTGACAAAGTTCCGAGATATATAAATTATATATCATATAAAAAGGCTATTTTTAAGCAGAGTCAAATGCATTATAATTTATATTGACAGGTTCTGCTGACAGAATAAGAGATCTGTCAATATAAACTGTTAGCACAAACTGTTGGAAACCAAACATATTCTGTAAAAAACAATTGATGTCAATCTGCTATGATATTTTGTTTGAAATATCCAGTAGCAAATTGTTAGAACATTGCTAACATTTTATTTGCTAAAAACTTATTTGTATATCTTACAATATTTTGATATTTTGATAATATAATTAAATTATTTAATAAAACTATGTTTTATAATATTATGCTTCCAAAATGTTTAGGTGAGGTAGCAGAAACTATATATGAAGCATATTATATGGAAGTCAAATTAAAACGCAAATTACTCGAAAATGTTGCTCACAATTGTACAGAATCTTGGAAGATGCTTCATCTTGCAGCTTGGGTGTACGAGCCCTTTATAACTGAAAATTTAATGATTTTATTAGATTCATTGCTTATTGAAACTGGTCACAGATGAGAAAAACTAATGCAGCATTATATTTTTATTTCAATTTTAATATACTTATATAAAGCAAGTAACGCAGCTGGAGGAAGAGATCGCAATTTTATTTATTTATGTCAGGAATCTAGATTAAAATATAATAGATAGAGCTTAAGTACATTTTGGTGTAAATTTATATATATGCGCCTAAATAATTTTCGGTCTTGAATCTTAAACTAAAACTATAAAATAGTAATATTGTAAATTAAATTATCAATTTAATGATTTTGATGCTAATAGATATCTTAAAAGTCCATAAATAATTTATTGCGAAAAAATATCACCCTAGCCAAAATTCGAACCTCGACTTCCTTATATACCGTATCTGATATCTTTACTAATAATAGTAATTTGTAATTGAAAATGTCTAATTTTACTTATATCGAATATCGATACAATATAAGGCCTGTTCTTTTTGGTAGAACTTTTGCATCAGTTCATTTTTCTTCTTCTATCGGGGAGGAAAGAAGAGGAAGAAAGATGAACTGGTGCAAAAGTTCAGCCAAAAAAAACAGGCCTATAGGCTTCAATAATTGGAAATATCGAAGTCCAGAATATCGATTCAAGATATCGACGTTATGAGATATCGATGGCTGCAACGCCAATTCCGCCATGCCTATTTTAAATCCCCCCCCCCTCCGCTTTACATTCCTCGTGCATACACGTACTCGTGTTTTTGTTGGTATCGTTATATTTATTAGGAATCTAATTTGATATTGCTTAAAAAAATGGGTAAAGCGAAAAAGGTCAAAGTATCTAAAGGCGAAACCAAAGAACCGAAAATTGGTTTGGCGGATCAAATAGAACTTGAGAAAGGGGTGAAAGTAAAAAATCGGCAAAAGATAAGGCGTCGGGCCGACGAAGAAGAGGTTAGTTTCAGCATTTACTTTATTTACTGTATTTGTTTATTTCATTTTGTTTTTTGAAATCATGTAGAGATAATTAAATTTTTAAAAAAACGCATAAATAAATTTTAAAATCCACAAAACTACAGGAAAATTGGAATTAATTGCATTGAACTGCATTATCAAAATCTTTCATTTTTTATTTCAACTGCAATTTATGCTACTATTCTTTAAAATCAAATAGAGATAGTTAAGTTATTTGGTAAATTTTTTATCATTCTTACATTTTTTAATTTTAATTTCTAGTATATAGCACCAACTCTGACGAAAAAAATCTTGTCGCAAGCTAGGCAACAGCAGTTAGAGATCGAAGATGAGATTAGTCCTAGCAATCTCGAAAAACCCAAAAAATCAAAGGTGAATCTTGGCTCCGGTTTCAGCGACGACGAGGATCAATCTAGTGATGATGGAGAACCAGTGGAGGATATATATTACGAGAACATTAATATTGATGAGGATGATGAACGGGCATTACAGATGTTTATGTCAAAGGATGCAACACCCATGAGGACGCTGGCAGACATAATAATGGAAAAATTGACAGAGAAAAAGACAGAAATCGAGACGCAGTTCTCCGACGCCGGAACTATTCAACTGCAGGATTTGGATCCGCGGGTGAAGGCAATGTATGAGGGTGTTAGAGACCTCCTGGCAAACTATCGTAGTGGCAAGCTACCGAAGGCTTTCAAGCTCGTACCTACCTTGAAGAACTGGGAGCAAATACTTTATATCACAGATCCAACAAAGTGGTCTGCTGCTGCCATGTATCAGGGGACAAGGATATTTGCTTCAAACTTGAAAGATAAGATGGCCCAGAGGTTCTACAACCTGGTTTTGCTACCACGCATTCGGGATGATTTGGCAGAATATAAAAGACTAAATTTCCATTTGTATCAAGCGCTGAGAAAAGCATTGTATAAACCTGCTGGATTTATGAAGGGAATCCTCCTACCACTCTTAGAATCAGGAACGTGCACGCTAAGAGAGGCCACTATCATCGGATCTGTAATCGCGAACAATTCTATACCAATTTTACATTCCTCGGCGGCTATATTGAAAATCGCAGAAATGGATTACACGGGTGCTAACAGTATCTTTCTCAGGATCTTCTTAGATAAGAAATATGCGCTTCCATACAGAGTAGTGGACGGAGTAGTGTTCCACTTTCTTAGGTAAGATATCGCTCTCTTACATAAAAAGTGACACAATTTCAAAGATTAAGTTTCTCAGAAAAGAAGAAGACTATTTTTTGACTTGACAGAAAATTGTTGAATAATTAATTACTATCGGCAAAAAAAATATATTCACATATTCAATAATCACAATTTTAAATCGTGTGACTATTTTTGTGAAATTAAGTTTACTTTGAATGATTGATAGAATGATGTTTACTTAACTCATTCATGGTAATATCTCAAACATCATATTTTTTAGCTGTATCACTTTTGAAGTAGGAGAACTTTATATAAAATAACAATAAATTTTAAATAAAAATTATTAAGAACTATGTTCATATCAAAATATAATCCATTAGGTTTGAAAGAGACACAAGAGAGTTGCCAGTACTATGGCATCAGGCCCTTCTAACGTTTGTGCAACGATACAAGAGCGATATCAGTTCTGAACAAAAGGAAGCCTTGCTAGGACTACTGAGGAAACAGTCACATCATTCGATCACTCCTGAAATCAGGAGGGAATTACAACACGCGAAATGTAGAGACATAGAAATTACAGAACCCAAACCAGAACCAATGGATATTAAAGATACATAATGCGTCCAAATATCGAAGTTATTGTATTGTATTAGTATTTATAATTATAATGTAATAAGGCCGGTATCAGATTATGTATTGAAAATTGAGAATTATAAATTGAAAATTAGAATTTGATGAATTGGATAATATTAACAATATAATATAAAGTGTATATAGTATGTCTGTAAAAAATGACTAAAATTGGAAATTTATACTTTCCGTATAAAATTGGATGTTATGCACATGAAATAGTTCAATAAGAGAAATTAATATTTATATTTAACGATTTTGTAGTTTATATGAAACTTTACATTTTAATTTTTTAAAAACGTTTATTTTTCATTAAAATAATTTTTTATTCAGATTCTAGTTCTAATTGCTATTGAACTTTTTTGTATCACTTCCTTTGGAATAATTTTTATTTCATAATTTTTTCATTTTGTTAAAAAATATATGTAATACATCTTTAATCCGTTTTTGATTATTCTGACAGTTGAATTCTTCTCTTCAATTCGCAATCTTCAATCTCTAATGTATGATCTGATACAGATTTAAAAATATTAGAAAAAAAAATTAAAATAAAATAAATATCTTGGTGGGTCAAATGATTTGCAAGCAAAGATTCGAATTGCTGTGTAAAAATACATCTGTATTTGGTCCTATGCTTAATTAAATACCTTAGACTAATATTTGCATTATTTTTACAATTGTTATGCCATATAGAACGAAGAATGTAATATACTGGATGATGTACACAGCAGTCACATTAAAAATCACATACATATGCACAATTACATAAATTATATTAAATATATCATTTTTATCACACAACTTATAAATATCATGAACATATCATGATACTCTCGTAATACACACACGCGCACACACTCATCTGATAGATGCAATAGAAATTCCCATTTTTGAACTTAATAATAATTTAATTGTATGTGAATATATAAATAAGGAAGCACAGCGCAACTCGAAGAGCAAGAAGTGAATTATAAATTTACTTAATATTATGCTAGAAATTTAAGATGCCTATTACGGTTGAAGCTGGATTTTCATTGCTTTAAATAATTCAATCTTGAATTACTAATATACACTATATATGTACTTGCATATATACTATATTATAGTCTTTTCAAACTGCGCGCCGAATTGTTTTTCCGGACTATAAACGCAATTAAAACTACTCTAGTAATCGTGAATTAAATTGACAAGCAATTTAACGCTATCATCAAGCATTATAAAGATGTTAATATGTTGAAACTGTTAATAAATTTATTGCGAAAATATTACCTCGGTCAGGACTTGAACCCGGATCTCTTGTATTCCATATGAGCGTCCTAAGCCATTAGACCACCGAGGTCTTACCACACTCGGTTTTTTTAATTGCGTTTATAATCCGGAAAAACAATTCGGCGTGCAGTTTGAAAAGACTACAATATGGTATATATGCAAGTACATATATTTATATAGTGTATATTAGTAATTCAAGATTGAATTATTTAAAGCAATGAAAATCCAGCTTCGCGACCGTAGACATTCTAAATTTCTAGTATTGATTCCGTTTCTCACATATGCGGTCTAAAATAAAGATTCTTAATATTGTTAATATTATGCTACATTAATTCGATTCTTTTGAGATATTTATATCTCAGTTTTATCTTTAGGACTGAGAATTTTGTCTTCCTGGTTCATACTTGCATACTTTGAATCCAGAGCAGCATGTTGATCTATAGAAATCGTCTTCATTATTCTCTGCTCGGACAAATAAAGATTTGTATTAATCAGAGGCACTTCAGTAGTACTCGATTTAATTATTCTACTTTCAGATTCCTTCTCTGCCTCTGATTTCTTCGAACTTTCCCGCAATTTCGAACAGGTCTCGCTGTTTGCGTCGTTGGCGTCTTTAACAAGAGATTCGGGTTTCTCAGTTAAATGATCGCTCTCTACTTTTGTGTCGTTCACATTTGCTTCCCCATCAATGTCTCTCTTCTCGCGTTCGTTATTCTCCAGAATGTCTCGACGAATCATGAGAATCTCTGGTTCGCTCTTATTCAATGATGGAACGATCACCTTGTCTAATTTTGATTGATTCATCATTTTCAATGCTATAGGTACAGAATATTTCTCATCGTACTTTTCTTGCGATTTGTCTGACGCGTTCACAACTTCATTCGTAAGAATCTCGCTCTTCTCTTCCTTCAATCGACGATTATTATTCTTTTTAGCAAGTTCCTCTTCCATAACAGATCTTTGTAGAACTCCTTTTGTCAAGGCGTTCAAAATAGGTCCCTTCATATTTTTGGAATCATTAAATTCTATTCTTTCTACTTTCGTTTTATCTTGTTTTTCTTTTTGTGTGTGTAATGATTTCTCTGGTGTTTCACGATCAACCTCTTTAATAAGAGGAAATTTGTCTGGTGTATTTTCTGATATTTTCTGTGGTATTTCTACATTTTTATTTTGAGAAACTTCGCGAAACACATCTAATTTTTCCTTATTATTTTCAACCGCAATATCCACATTATTATTCTCATCTCGAGGCTTTTCATGCTTTTCATTTAATTTTATTTTGTCTGCATTACTCCAATCCTTTTTCAAAATTTCTTTATTATTTTTTTCGATAATAATCTCATTATTCTTTATACTATTTTCTTTTTTACTGTTTTCTATCAAATTACTTTCTGGCAAAACATTTTCTTTCACATCAATTTGTATCTTTTCGTTCTTTTTTAGTATCTCGTCCTTCGCCATTCTCTGTTTCTCCCTCTCGAATTCTTGCTTTTGTTCCTTGATATCCTTCAGAATCTCCTTTTGTTCCTGCATCATCTGACGTTGCTCCAATTTATGTTTCTCCAATGTTTTTCTAAGTTGTTCATGTCGTTCTACAGCTCTAGCATTAGCTATATCTCCATCAGCTGCCAACTCTGACTCCTCCTTCTTTATTGCATCTAAAACGAGATTATCATTCTTCTGTAAATCCAACGACTGCTCCTTTTCCTCGATTATCTTTATCTTTTCTTCCGCTTTCAAAGTAACAGGTTTATCAATTTTAGCGTTATCAATATTTATAGCAACCTCCTGTGCTTGTGCGTTTAAATTTTCATTTTTGATTGTTTCATCTATATTTTTTATTTCTGGCACAAGAGAGCCTACTACTATCTTATCAGACTTTTCAACATTTGGCTTTTCGCTGATGATCATACGTTCAACAGGTATTGGTGGTTCTTGTCGAACGTCTTCCACTTTCAGATTTAATGTTTTGCCGATAACATTTATGTCAGGTAGTTGATTAATTTTATCTGTAATATAACATAAAATTAAGAAAGTAATATATCAAATGAACGTAATAATAAATAAATTTAAATAATAATTTGTACCTTTCGCTCTGGGAATAAGTTCCAGACTATTGGGAATGTCGGGAATAATATGTAAATCATCTTTAATTATCTCTAACGGTAAATTATTGATTTGAGCGAGCGGCTTATTAGTCACCGCTAACTTTGTGTTTGTAGACTTCTCTATAGCATATAAATTGGCGTATGTACCGAGGATCATGATCCAAACACCGACGATTAAAATGCACTAGATATAAAATATATACTATATAAAAAGTTGAAAAAAAAAATCGTGAAACTGAGATTTACAGGAAAGGGCTTTACCTGTGCTATAAGTCTTTCATTAGTATTTTTGCTGCTTATAGAGATAAAAAATACTGTCGGGAATATTAAACAAATCATCACACCAATCGTTGACCCCACAATACCAAGAACAAACTCTATGTTCGGTACTAAAATACCGACGATCAGGGAAATGCTGACTATCGCAATTGTGAGGCATCGAAATCTGAACTCCGATAGATAATTGACAGACGGTTCGTGGGTGTATACCTAATAAGGTAGTAAAATGTAAATTAGGAATTCTAGCAGTATGTTCTTATGTTCTAGATTTATTTGCAGTATATATACGTACCCGACGAAATAAGAGAGAATTCAAGCTCGCACGACATGGAAATATGACTAGAGGAAAACTGAATGCAACCGAAAACACGAATCCCAGTTTAATCAATTCTGATGTAATGCTAGGTTCGAAACTCAATAAAATATTTCCTGCAAAATATAACAATAATAAAGGATAGTAAAGTATTAATTTGACAAGAAATCTATTCTTTTCAGCTAAACTTCTTGCATTTCTTGCATTCATTTTTCTTTTCTTTTTCTTCAAGTTAGAAAAATAAGCAAGAAAAATAAACGATTTAAGAAGTTTAGCTGAAAAGAATAGACCAAATAATTATAAGTTGTATATTATACAGTTCTGTTGAATTACCTGTAAACGGTTGGGTACAGAATGCAATGTAACCGAACAAGCCAACGCACATATATACAAGTGTACATATATTCAAAGCTCCTCTTACAACGTCGTTCATTTTCTCTAACGATACATTCGGAATGGTTTCGTATATTTCAAACAATTGCGTTTGACAGAAAAGAGCCATAGAAAATATCGGTAGGCATTGAAGGATGCCGGCCGGTCTCCAATAATTAACATTGTTAAACCAATCTCCCATAAAAATATGTAGGGTTGATTCGCCCATAATCTATCAATTAGTAAAGAAAGTATATTAATTATATAGTGCTTATGTATCTTATAGCGAATCCGGTCACTTCCATTACATTAAATTAGTGCATACTAAAAGCTGCTATACGTGAAATTATTACAGTAAGAGTAAATGTAACGCATATAAATATCTTAAACGATTAAATATTCAATAATAATATTGTCATGTTATTAACAGAATATATTTATGTTATTCCAAAGTTAAAATCGATTATAGCCATGTATAAAAATGTTTTGGCACTCTATTAATTATAGCGGTTTTTAATTTCTTAATCAGCATTTTAATAATTTCTTGAAATATTAGTCGAGATGCACATTTTTTAAAATTTATTGCGTAATTGTATTAAATAACATGCTAGCATGCCATGGTTTTAAAAAAGTATGATCAATGTCATATAGATTGGTCTTCATAAATTAGATACAACATTTATAAGTTCTCAATTAACAGAAAAAG